CTGGGCTTTTGCAGTAGATAGGAGGAAGTGATTGTTGCTCTCTGCGCCGGAGTTAATTCCCGCTGGGCAATAAGTTCCGCCAGGGGTAGTCGTGGTCGTTCCATTTTGGACCAAAACTGGGTGAGGTCCCTGCGCGCCTCCTCGACATCGCTCAGCGCCGAAATCAGGTATCCGTCACGTTCGCTGTGTGCCCCTCGGACGCCGTGCCGTTCGTGGGTGCTGCCTTCAACGTCACTAAGGGCCTTGACGCGGGTTTTTTCCCTGTTTGAGGTTGCAGCCGTGGCCTGTTCTTGACTCTGGGGAAGAAACATCTGCAAGAATGATTATAGAGGCCAAAAAATCCCGTCCATTTATAATAAACAAGTACTTTCAAATGTTCGGTAACCTGACTTTAAACTTTTTCGTTAAATTCCACCAATAGGAGGACGAATTTCCATTTTCGTTAAATTCCGCCTTCATATGGTCAAATTTTCCTCGACTAGCCTCCGTATTCTACGTGACAGAGGTTTACGTTGATTGAATTTAATTCCATTTAGCATATTAAAACAAGCATAATCTTATTTAATTTACTATTCTTCGAGCATCTCCGCCACAATTATATATTAATTTACGCCCACTAGCCAAAAATCAAATGTTTAACCTCGAAATACATTAAGCAGTTGGGCGGGAGATTATATATCTGGTGGGCCCTACAAATCATTTTCGCCGAAACGTACAAGAGCAGTTCGATGATAAAGTAACACACTTAAAAATATTGTTAATTTAACGAATCCTAAGATAACAGATGAGTCATAAATCGGGAAAGAAGTTTATTTTTGGAGCTCTTTAACTTTTATGGAGTCCATTATCACTTACACGGAAAAACGACGGAAAAAGAGTTTATATAAGTAAAGACTAGTCAATCAACCCAAAGCCCAAGTATGTACAGAAGGATCTCTTAGGTAGGGACTATTCATAGGCCTTGTTTCCTTAATTAAATTTGTCTGCGTTAAATTTCCGTAGTCTGGAGAGATTTCAAGACATCCCCTGATCGATTTATGGTCGGTCACGCGGGTCTCAATACCTCATAGGGTTGCCCTGCCCCGGAAGGTGAAAATTATCATACTGAGAACACATCAAAAACGACCATTTGTTGTAGGCTATAAGGAGGCACGAAATGGAACGGGCTGTGCCCCACAAATTGCCCAAGCGGGTCTCTCATTTTCGCCCTGTTTGACCTATCTAATTGTGTATGAAATCAATGTACTGGGTGCAGTAGACACAGTTATATCGTTTGCATAAGAAAAGGACGACTCGATTGCCGGGACATGACATTTATTCGTCTGACGTTTCGACATCCATCGCGGATTCTTCATGAGAGACACCAGCAGAAGTGAGAAATACATGCATAGGAATTTGCAATATCTAGAGGATACAGTCATTAGTACGCACTCATGACAATGACAGTTAACGATAATCGCCCTCTTAAGCATTATTTGCTTGATTACCGGCATGCGGGTCATGAACTGTTGAACTTGCATCGCGCATGATGGAAATGAGCGTGAAGATTGCTCGGCAACAAAGTCACACCAACCCCAAATTTTGGCCAGCGAACCCATGCGTCAAAAACGCCTCGGAGGCCGTTGACCACCTTCTTGCACCAGGCATAGAAAAAAGTCGTCAGCTAAAGTGAACTGCCAGATATGCAAGACTAGAATGTCTCAGAAACATCTCTGCAGTGACTACAACTCCGGCGACCCACCGGACATGAGGTCACTTAATCGCAATTCTCGACTAGCCTCTGGGATAGGCGGATCACAGGTGCCGCAACATGCACCCCTTGTCTTCTTGTGACCGGCCGCACACGGAGGCCAATCATCTACTTAAGGCTGACGCATACAAAGGCCACTTAAGAGGAAGAAGAAGAGGGGGCAAGTGCCCCCTGACGTTTCGAAAACATGCTCATTCTCATCGTGGTTAACGGCCACGTGCAACAGCGGAAACATGTTTTCGCCTTTGAGAAGGCAAGGGTGATCGGCAGGGCCAGTGACAAGATGG